AGCCAGTCAGAGACCCAGAGGGAAGAGCAGGGCACGGAAGAGTAGTAGTGTAGCGAGCAGTGACTGGTCCCGAGGTGGGATCAGCCAGAGCGACAGAGTAGTAGTAGACAGCCCCATACTGCTTAGTGGGAAAATCGGGACGGACTTAGTTAAAATCTTCGTAGACGGGGGAGCCAGCCACAGCCTCATCAACACGGCCACATCACGGAAACTGTAACTGCCACTGGACAGATGCTTGCCTGAGATCGACGCAAGACTGGTTGACGGCACGCCACTGGCGATACGGGAACGCGTAGACCGGGTTCGGATTCGATGCGGGGGTAACTTCATGTTTAGCCAGGAAATGCTCGCAACAACTCTCGACGGAACCAACATTATACTCGGTCGTGATTGGCTGCGACGACACAATCCGCGAATCGACTGGACGACGGGTGACTGCACCGTGTGAGTGAACGGTAACAACATCGCCTTACCTCGCTGGGGCTCGCCTGAGTCTTCGTCGGTGCGTGTCAACGCAATCACGATGAAACGCGCCGTTCCGGCAGGACCTGACGTGTACGCAGTCGACATTCGGGAAGCCGAGGCAGCAGACAAAGGGGGGAATTTACAGAAACTGCTAGCCGACGTACCGGATGACTTGGCAGCACTCCTGAAGCAGTACAGTGGGATATTTCCGGATGACCTGCCGACGGGACTGCCACCTCAGCGACCGCACGACCACAAGATAGAGTCAGAACCGGGGGCACAGCCGACAGTACAGTGACAATTCCGACTGACCCAACCCGAACTGGACGAACTAAGGAAGCAGTTGGACTACCTGCTCGAGAAGGAGTTCATTCGCCCGAGTTCGTCTCCCTTCGCAACACCGCTACTGTTCACACCGAAAAAAGACGGGGGTTTTCGAATGTGCATAGACTACAGAGCACTGAACAGGGTTACCATCAAATCCCGCTACCCCATCCCACGAGCCGACGAACTGATCGACCAACTGCGGACAGCCCGGGTTTTCTCGAAAATCGACCTTCGAGGAGGCTACCACCAGATCCGAGTCAACCCACCCGACTGCCCAAAAACAGCTTTCCGAACACGCTACGGATCCTTCGAATACACCGTCATGCCCTTCGGACTGACCAACGCCCCCGCCAACTTTCAAATGACGATGAACGACGCCTTCCACCCGCTTTTAGATCAGTGCGTCTTCGTATACCTCGACGACATACTGATTTACAGTGTTGACAAAGCACAGCACTTACAGGACAATGAAACATTTTTTAAAATACTGAGTGAGAACTGCCTACTAACCAAAGCCTCTAAGTGTGAGTTTCTACAGGACAGACTAGAGTTTGTAGGGCACATAATTTCAGCTGATGGAGTGGAAATAGACTCGAAAAATATCGAGACGATTCAAGCATGGCACGCTCCGACAAACTTGACTGAGTTGCAGAGCTTTTTGGGGTTCGTCAACTATGTGCGCCGGTTCGTCCCCGTCATGGCGAAGCTGACTGCCCCATTGACCGACCTGCTGAGGAAGGGGGTTGAGTATATGTGGGGGGAGAAAGAGCAAGATGCCTTCTCGGCCCTCAAACAAATTTTGTGCTCGCCGCCCGTGCTTCACATCGCAGATCCGCACCGTCCGTTCGAACTCGTCACCGACGCTAGCGACATCGCTGTGGGAGCGGTACTGTTGCAGGACTTCGGGAACGGCCTCCAGCCAATCGCGTACGAGTCCCGCAAGCTTCACCCGCCCGAGCGACTACCCGATACACGACCGCGAGATGCTGGCGATCGTGCACACGTTCAAGGTGTGGCGATGTTACCTCACGGGAGCAGACGTGACAGTACGGACAGACCACCGATTACTACAGTACCTTCGCGCCCAACCAAATCTCAACCCGCGACAGATCCGCTGGTTGGACTATCTGGAGTCCAACTTCCACTACACAGTCGCGTACAAAAAAGGTGCATCCAATATCGCCGACGCACTCACACGCCCCACCGCCCAACTTCACGCCATCCTACTCGTCCAAACCAACCCACTGCTAACAGGCCTATTCACCCACGGATACAGTACCGACCCGTTTTTCACGACTGGAAATTCACAGCAACTGGCAGAAGCCAAAGGAGTCTATTACGCAAAACATGCACCAACCGTATCTGGGTACCTGCGTATTCACTACTGAGGGAACTGCTACTACAGGAGGCACACGACGGGATTACCTCGGGACATTTTGGGGTAGAAAAAACGCGACAGCAACTACAGTGGTATTACTACTGGCCGGAGCTGTTGACCGACGTACAGCACCACGTAGGCTCGTGCCCTACGTGTCAGGTTATGAAGAGCTCGCGAAAAAGAAAGACGGGTCAACTGCAGCCGATTCCACCGCCTGAGCGCGCCTGGCAGCAGGTTACCATGGATTTCGTCACGGGGTTACCTTCGAACCCTGGGGGTAACGACACAGTTATGGTCGTCGTTGACAGGTTGACGAAGATGGCACACTTCGCTGCGTGCAAGAAATCGATCTCAGCCGAAGAAACCGCTCGCCTGTTCATCGCAGCCGTCGTTCGACTGCACGGGATACCAGCCGCGATAATCAGCGACCGCGACACGAAGTTCACTAGCAACTTCTGGAAAAACCTTTGGGAGCAATTCGGAACCAGGCTACAGTTCAGTTTCTCGTACCACCCTGAGACAGACGGTCAAACGGAGCGGACGAATCAGACGATGGAGCAGTTGATTCGTGCCACGTGCGACGACCCGACAACTTGGGAGCAGCAGCTGCCGATGATCGAGTTCCCATACAACAACGCCACGTCAGCGACGACGCAGCAGTCCCCGTTTTACCTGAACTACGGGCAAAACCCTACAGTGCCCATGACGCCGAGCCCGGACAACCCAACGCCACGCGCATAACAATTCGCCGAGATTCTGCAAGTTGCCCGCACCAGAGCCGCCGAAGCAATTAAAAAAGCAAATGTCATCGCTAAGCGCAACGCTGACCGTCACCGCCGCCCAGACACATACCAGTCAGGAGATTACATACTGCTCGACACACAGAACTTGAGACTGCCCGTCGTACCGAAATTACGACCGCGCTACTATGGACCCTTCCAAATTAGCCACATGATCACCCCAGTAACCGCCCATTTACTGTTGCCGACAGTCTGGTACATCAGCCCATCGTTCCACGTCAGCCTGCTTCGCCCATACATCCCAACCACGAGCCAATTGCCTCGTCACCGCCCGCCATCCATGACTCGCCTTGCATCGGAGCCGATCATCAAGCCCGAAAAAAATCGGAGCCACCGGATTCGACAGCGAATCCCACGGGAATCAGGAGGATTGAGTTCCTCGTTCGCTGGAAGGACCGCACGCCAACTGAGGACAGCTGGGTGCCCCTGGCCAACATCGAAAATCACCCTGCCCGCGAGAGTGATATAGGGGATGGGAGTGTGGTATAGGGGAGCCAGAGTTTCCGCGACATACAAGCACTCGCGTAGCGGAGGGGGCTTCTTGAGGGGGGGGGGGGGGGGGGGGGGGGGGGGTAGTGTAAGGAATTTTCTCAACATTCCTTAGCGCGTCATGCAGCATCGCGTACAGCAGCAGCTGTTGCTCGCCCGTTACTGCTAACGGGGCTTCGCCGACTTCGCGCGCACTGTTTCACCAAACCTAGCACAGCTGGCCCGGCCGTGTCGGCCTACGTTTCGGGACTAGCCCAAACCTCACTGCCAGCGTAGCACTAGCTAGCTCGCATGCACCGTGTTATCGTTTTGCATGTTTCGCGTATAAATGTTCGCTCATGCCTTCGCTCACATTTTGTACTCATTCTACACTTAGTGCAATCCTCGCTACCTAGATTCATTGCACCCGTAATAGTAGTACAAGAAATACACGTCATAAATATAGTGACCTTGAAGTCATGGCTGGTGTATAATACAGGCGGTCCATCATTGTCGAAAATAGATTCCACCCCTTACCACACTCCCGCACCCCTGATCGCACTCGCGCACTCCTATCCGCACTCGCGCAATAAGATTTTGCTTACCTGCACCGCTTGTCCGCTTATCCGCTTGTATCGCTGACAAGCGGACCTGGCGGCAAAATCCCCGAAGGTCGAAGGTGCTTGATTTTCCGCGGATCATTGCCGCGTCCCATCACCTGCTCCGAAGGTGACTTTGGAGGCAACCTGCGGCTCCCAACCAAAGCTGTTTGGGCCTGTGGAACTTTCAAGGACAGGCTGGCCAAATCACGAGCAGCTGGCTAAATGGCAGACACGTCAGAAACTGCTGGCTAGGGGCTTCACAACGCACAAAATCTTGTTTAATAAAGCGCGTTGTTTAGCACTGTTCAGGGTGCTATGCTTACGTTCCGAAGGCGAAGTTTTGTTTTTTCACGCGGCCATGCCAGGTGGCTTGGATTCCTCGTTGCCCACTGGGCCAGCTAGATTGGTCGTGTCGGGAACAAAGCTTTGAGTGTACAGTTCTGCAGTGAGTGGCCAAAGCTGTGGTGTATGGATGGAATCCCACGTTTTCCGGTAACGGTTTTTGGACGTGGTGCGAGTTACGTTGACTCGGTCCACGCGGGGGTCTCCTCCTAGGAAGCCCGCTCTCACCTCACTACGCGACTCGAAGCGAACGAGCCACACTGCCGTTCGATCATCGGAGATTCAGTGAGCTCACACGAACCGTCGGATGTTGCAAGAGTTGCAGGGCGACGTCGCTGCCCTCGCACAACGGCAACATCTCTCGTAGGGGTTGACCGTCAACGGAGAGGCATAAATATTTCATTCCTCATTCCAACCACAGCAACGTGGGTTCTTCTGGAGAGTTTTTCTTACCAAACCCGGCAAGCAAGCAGCCAAGCCGACCATCCCCTTTCTGAAATCCCTCCGTAGCCCACGACCTCGGGGTTGACGAGAGTCTTCTTCTAGGCGAGCTAGCCCAACCAACCCAATCTCAACGTGGAAACCACGCCAGCACAGCACAGGAAACCCTATCTGCCGATGTCCTCTGCGATAGCGTGCCCGTGGAGTCCTCACATGGACCAACACCAGCACAACCAGGAAGCCTTGCACCCAGATCAGCAGCAGTTCCGCCTTTCTCCATCCCATAGATCCCCTCCCACGAGTGAAAGTCCGTTCACGTGGCCATTACCTCCCGCGCTAGATTTACCAGCCACTGACGAGTTTCTTCCCGACGAGGCTTCACCCTGTTGGATTTGGGCCCAGCAGCAGCCATCGGCGCCCGCAATCCCCGCCGCAACGGCCGCTGCTGCGCACACAGGCCCTGCGCCAGCCATGGCGACAGCAGTGGCGACACAAGCGACGTGGGAGACCACCCCCGCCACCAACTGCGGCGCAGCTAGCGGGTTCCAACCTACCGCAGACGCTACCGTTCCAGCCGCCTCCGCTTCCCACTGCTCCTCTTCCGGCGTAAGCTTCCCCTCAACCCCCGCTTCCCCCTCGTCCGCATCCGCTCCTGCCGCCACCACTACCCCTCTCCCACCCGCGTCCGCCGCCTCCGCCGCCCCCGCGCAGTCCCCGCCTTCCCTCCCCGTGGCGCAACTGGAAGAGCTGCTCCTAGACGACTGCGGAGTCCTCGAGATCTCCATCCCCCAGCGCCGCTTCCCCTCATCCTTCCCCCCATCCTTCCTCTCATCCGCGGCCACTGGGAGCCTTGCGTCAACCCTCCCTACCGCGGGGACTCTCCCCAGCGCGGGAACCCCCTTTGCCGGAACTCCCGCGGATCTGCGCGAGCAGGGGTTGAATCTTTTCGCCAGCCTCCTTCCGCTTCTTTACACTCCGCGCTGCGCCGCCACCGCCGCCATCGCCGCTTCCCCCGCGGGGGAGAAGCTCAAGCGCGCGCTCGCGTCGTCTCCGGCGGCTGCCGGCATGTTCGAGGCGTTTGCCAACCGGCCGCTGCCATCCCCCGCGCCTCTCGCATCGCCGATGCTCTTCGAGCAGTTTCAGCAGCATATGCAGCAATGGCCCGCGCCGCAGGTGGAGCAACAGGAGCAGTCCGAGCCGCAGGTGTCGGAGTCGATTGCCGCGCCGCAGACCGACGAGGATATGGACGAGGCGCTTCCGGAAATCGAGAGCCCGAATAGCGTCGACGTGACCTCGCCGCACCGTGACTTCGACGACAGCTGCCTTGACGAGCCACCGAGTTCCGCCGCCGCCGCCGCTACCGGCCCTGCCGCCGCTGTCGCCGCTCCGGCCTCCGTCGCTCCCATCCCGTTCGCCCCGGCCAAGCCGACCGCCGGGAACGCTTTTGCTTCCTACTCTGTCCCTCTCGACGCTCCCGCCGCAACAATCGCTGCGAAGCTCGAGCCAGTAGCCACGGAAGAGGCGGGAACAGCGGCGCCTTCTCCGGCGTCGCCTGCCGCGGAGCCGCTGAATGACGGTTACTTCTGGCGTAAGTACGGGCAGAAAGCAGCGAAGGGCGCAGCGTATCCGCGCGCGTATTTCCGCTGCGCCGTTCCCCGCTGCCCGGCTAAGAAGACGGTCGAGCGTTCGTCCGAAGACGGCAGCGCGATGGAAATCGTTTACCGCGAGGAGCACAACCACCCACGTGGCACTCTCCCCGGCCGCCGCGCTTCCCCCGCGTCGCAGGGCGGTGCGGGAGGGGCGCGCGTTTTGGTGACGGAGGAGATGGGCGGGTTTAGCAGCGGCGGTGGCGGAATCCCGCGTTCCCCAGTCAAGCCGCACCAGGCGCAACCGCAGCCGCAGCCGCAGTCCCAGGCTCCTTCCGCCGCTTCCCCCGCCTTCCCCGCATCCGCTGATCCCGCCGCCGCATCCGCCGCAGCGGGACTCGCGCTGCTGGAGAGTCTGAGCACCGAGGATCTCGCGCGCCTCGTCTCCGCACTCTCTTCCGACGCTATGGCCGCCGCCACCGCCGTGCTCGAAGCGGCGGTCGCCGCCGGCGTGATGGACAGCAGCCTGGGCGTCGCCGCCGCCGCCGCCACCGCCGCCGCAGCCGAGGAAGCTGCCAACGCTCGCCCCGCGTCTCCACTGGTGTATTCCCCCGCCGATCTCGCGGCCGCTGCTGTGAACGCCACTGCTGTTGTTACCGCCGCCACCGCCGCTGCTGAGGTGGCTCGGGGGCATATGATCCGATCCGCGTCGGACAGGGGAGCTCCGGAAGCAGCGGCAGGCTTGGCAGCAGGCTCGGCAAACGCTGGCGCGGTCCTTTTCCGTTCCGTATCGGCTCCTAAGGACGAGTGCGATGACCAATCCTCCTCCGGGAATACCGGCGGGATTGCGGGAATTTCCAGCGATGCTCTTACTGCTGTAGCTGCTCTCACGCGCGGGTCAGCCATAGCCGTCGAACCGTCAAGTTGCAGCACGGGAAGCGCCGGCAGCACGGGGAGCCGTCATAAGCGCCGGTCGACGGAAGAATTTGACATCACTGTCAGCCCGTCTTCCCCGAGCCTGCACTCTGTGACTCTAACGAAAGGTGCTGGTAATGCGTTTAATGAGGGTGGTAACGTCTCTGGAAGCATTTCGCCTGCTGGCGGTAGGGGGAAAAGGATGCGCACTGGAGGAAACTCTGGCGGAAGGGGGAGCGGAGGGCGCGGAAGTGGAAGCGGAAGCGGGGGAGGAAACGCAGACGGACAGACGGTTACGATGACGGTCGTGCAGGTTGAGGGAACTGGCCGGGATGTGGTTGGCGACGTGGAGGATGGTTACCGCTGGCGAAAGTACGGTCAGAAGGCGATAAAAGCGAGTCCTTACGAAAGGAGTTATTTCAGGTGTAGCAAGGATGGTTGCGGGGCGAGGCGGGTTATTGAACGCTGCCCGGAACAACCTGAAGATGAGAGTGTAGCTGCGACTCACACGAATCTGCTTGTGACTTATATCGGAGTGCATTCTCACGCACGGCCGTTCCGAGCCAAGGTGATCTACAAGCCCGTTCTGGACGCTTCTCAGGAACCCCCTGCTGACGTGGCGAACCCTAATTTCGCTGCTGCTGGTGGTGCTGACAGCGCAACATTGGTTTCTGCTCAGATTCCCGAGACGCTCCCAGAACGAGCCTGTGAGCAGCAGACCGCGAATCCAACGGATTTGACCGAAGCGGAAGAAGGGGGGAATGGTGAGGGCATGCAGATGGCGATGCCGCATCTCCGGGATCTCAAGATTGAGGATTTCGCTTTTGGTGACCTGCCCACGCTTTGGTGAGGCGTGAAGAAGGAAACATTGGGGTTATAAAGGATTCGCTCATAACGCAGCAGCGGCTGAGAGGAGGAGAGGGAAACCATTCCCTGGAGAGGGGAAGGGAGTTTACTGAAGAGAGGGAGTCTCACTCTATCGGGTGTGCGTTTAGATCAAGGTTTGTACAGCCTTCCATCCATCCACCCGCTCTGGCTGTGGGGACGGATGGCAGGCTGTACTGTACCCCTTATAGGCTTGCTCGTTTCCTGGCTTGTACAGCCTTCCATCCATCCGCCTGCTCAGTGCTCACTGTGGGGACGGATGGCAGGCTGTACTGTACCCGTTTCGCTTTCTTGTGCTTGCCCTGTGTGTGTCTTTCTTCGTTTTGATACACATAAGTTATATTTCTGCTTACGAAGCTGTAAGAAGGAAATCAAGGAATAATCCATGGGCCATGATGCATTGGGGTGTGTTGCTTGCATTGTGGACTGAACGGCACAGCTCTTCCACTAGGCGCTTGATACATGGAGCATATAGTGTAGGTAGGGCATGTTGGGGCATGTAACATGTTGAGGAAGGGACGCTGGGACATGCTTGCTGGGGCACGTAACATGTTGTTGGGGGGTATGTTGCTGGGGCATGTCTGGTTATGTTGGGGCATGTGGCATGCGGTGCAGCATGTGGTCATGGCTCATGGCTCACGATGACTCATTTTAACTGTTGCAACAATCTCGTATACATCAAGGTAATAATTACGAAGAAATAATGATACAACAACAGCACAGGCAGGCAGCAGCGGCAACAGAACTACCGTAGCAGCTCGGCCCGTCTCTTTCCCCACGCTCCCAACAGCAACAGAACCACCAGCACCAGCATTAGCAGCACCAGAAGAAGTTTTTGCAGCTGCTTCTTCCAGAGCGTTGGTTGCACAGGGGTTACCAGCAGCACTGGCAGGAGCACCAGCCGTAGCAGCAGGGTTACTCCTGCTTGCATACCCTTCCATCAGCCCCAGCAACAGAACCACCAGCACCGGCAGCAGGAGCAATACCACCAGCACCAGCATTAGCAGCACCAGAAGAAGTTTCTGCAGCTGCTTCCTCCAAAGCCTTGGTTTCACAGGGGTTACCAGCAGCGTTGGCAGCAGCACCAGCAGTAAAAGCAGGGTTACTTCTGCTTGTCTACCCTTCCATCAACCCCAGCAGCAGATCCAGCAGCATCAGCACCACCAGCTGCAGCAACAGAGCCAGCAGCGTTGGCAGCAGCACCAGCAGTAGAGGCAGGGTTACTTCTGCTTGCCTACCCTTCCATCAGCCCCAGAAACAGAAGCAGCAGCAGTATTAACAGCACTACCAGCCGCTCCAGCAGCATCAGCAGAAGCTTCTGCAGCAGCCTCCACCAGAGCCTTAGTAGCACGGGACAACACCTCTCTGGTTACCAGCAGTGTTGCCACCGCCCCCACCCCTCTGGTTACAAACCCACCTGCACCAGATCCAACCCAAATTGGAAAACACTTGCAGCAGCACCATCAGCGGCAGCAGCAGATCTATTCCTCCTTACCCACCCTTCCATCAGTAGCAGCAGCAGCAGCAGCAGCAGCAGCCCCAGCAGCATCAGCAGAAGCTTCTGCAGCAGCTTCCTCCAGTGCCTTGGTCGCACGTGATGAAACCTCTCTGGTTACCAGCAGCGTTGCCACTGCCCCCACCACATACAACCCCACCTGCACCGGATCCAACCCAGACCCAGCACCAGCAGCAGCAGTCGTGGTTACGGTTGCATCGGTAACCGCATCAAGAGCCACACGGCCCGCTCCACCCAGGTAGACATAGGCAAAAGTAGCTGGGAGCATGCCGAGGGAGGAAGCAGCCATGTACTCGAAAAACCCGATGCCTGCATGAGGATTGGGGGTGGGGGATGCATTGGAATGAAATGTGTGGGGGTTACAGTTGTCACACGGTAACCGCATTGAACGCAACCCGGCCTGCTCCACCCAGGTAGACATAGGCGAAGGTGGCAGGGGGCATGCCTAGAGAGGAAGCAGCCATGTACTAAAAAAAACCCAATGCCTGGTATCAGGGTGGGGGAAAGTGGGACGCAGGAAGCATTGGTTTTGAGTCGACTCAAAATAAGAGAGGAAGCAGCCATGTACTAAAAAAAACCCAATGCCTGGCGTCAGGGTGGGGGAAAGTGGGACGCATGAAGCATTGGAGGGGAGGGTGTGGGGGTTGAGTCGTCACAGGGTAACCGCATTGAGTGCCACACGGCCTGCCCCCCCCAGGTAGACATAGGCGAAAGTGGCAGGGAGCATGTTGAGAGAAGATCCAGCCGGGGGTGGGTGAAAGGGGGTGGGTGAAAGGGGGTGGGTGAAAGGGGGTGGGTAAAAGGGGGTGGAGGGGAGGTGGTCAAATGAAAGAGCAAACATACCTATGAGAGCAATTAATACTAAAAACTGGTCAACACCTGCAATTCCAAGAGAGAACGGGCAAATAGGTTATATTCAGCACAGCAGCATCAACCAGATCTTACCTGTGATACCAAACACGTAGTTTGAGATGGAAAATGGGAAAATAGGCGACAGTCGGCACAGCAGCACAATACGCCACCCGCCCACTGAGATTGCGCGATCCAGCGCCTCGAACCGCCCTTCCCCGAGCCGCCCCGCGAGCTGCCGCGCCACGAACGGCCGCGCCGCGTACCGTGCGACGAGGAACGCCACCGACGCGCCGAGCGTCGCGGCGATTAGAGTGATTGCCGTGCCGCGCGCGGCTCCAAAGAGGTAGCCCGCCGCGAGGGTTAGGATGGAAGCGGGGACTAGAAGGACGGCGGCGATAGCGTAAGCTGCGGCGAAATAGACGGCGCCGCCTAGCGGCCCCGCCGCGTCGCCGCCTTGCTCGACCGCCGCGACGACCTGCTGAAGGGGATTGGTCCACGTGGCGGCAGCGGCAACCGCGTCGCCACCTGCAATGGCGGCTGAGGCGGCGACGGTAGCGTCAGCGGCAGCTGCGGCGCTGTCTACGTGTAAGAAGACAAGCGCCGCCGCCGCTGTCTGCGACGCTGCCGATACGAGAAAAGAATCCGACAGGTGTAAACGTTCGAAGGGATTCGGATCGAGCTGTGTGGAGCGCCGCGAGGCTTCGTCAGCAACCCGAGCCGCGGAGGTCTTTAGGTCGTCGCAGCCGTGGCGCGAAAATTCTCCCGACGTGCCGTCATCAGTCCGCTGCGAAAGGTGGAGTGGTTGCCTAGGTTGACTAGGCACCTCAAGAGTGATTGGCGCTTCCAGTTCTCTTCCACTGTGCACTACCGGACTGTTTTGACTGCGTTGACTGACCGGTATCCTCGCGCACTTCAAGGAGCGGTAGCCGGACCGCGAGTTGCTGCGGCGTGAATGTCCACCGGCGGTGGTCCGTCGCGTGATTGAAGCTAGTGTAAGAGCGGGGTATCTGGATGCTCCTATTCGCGCGAATGGTAGGGCCGCAGGGAGTGCCATTAAGACCGCTGAATCGCGACGCGAAACCACGAATTAGTAGCTCAATGCCGTGCTGGCGTCGCTTTGCAACGTGGCCCTCGCCTTCAATAATAGTTTGGCCTTCCGTGCGATGTAGGTCTACGTGGTTGTATCTATGTTGGTGCTCCGCTGAAATATGAGCTTCCACTTCGAAATAGCATAGCAGGGATGATGGGCTCGCGTCGCTCAAATACACTGGACAGTACTGCAGCTCTTCACTAACATTCCAACTACAATGTAATGAAATCAAAGCATTTGCCATGAACACTTCTCAAGCCTAATACAGAAGCATTCTTGCCTTATCATCTGCTAGGTTCAAAGAGACTAACACATTTATAAGAGCTTGCCGCCACCTAAGGTACTCCAAATCCAAACAGTGCTTACAGCGAACCACTACGTCGATTATTGTCTGTGCAACCTCCCATGCCCCTGGGGTAAAGAACATTGGAGGAAACAAAGTGGTGAGAAAAATATTTTCAGCAAGTGAAACGAGTGGCGAGACATGGGAGGTGGGAGGTGGGAGGTGGTAGGTGAGAGGTGGGAGATGAGAGGTGGAGGTGCGAGGTAAGAGGTGAGGTTCGGGGTGGGATGGGAGGTTGGAGGTGAGAGGCAATGGGCTAGAGTGAAGAAAAAGGCAAGTGGATGGTTGAAGAGGAGAGAAATGGTGAAATAGTGGGGAAGATCACGAGGAGGGAAGTAAGGAAGGAAGTGGTGGGGAAGGAAGAAGGGAGAGAAGTGGGGAAGGAAGTAAGACAAGAAGTGAGGCGGGAAGTGGGGAGGGAAGTGGAAAGGAAAAGACTTACGGATTCTGAGCATCAAATGTGCCAGGTCCAGCTGTGCCCTCAGGTATGCTGCCAGGTTGGATGTCAGGTGGCCTGATAAGTTACGGGTGGGAAATAACAGAGGAGAAGAGATGTGGAGAGGAGGTGTAGACAGCTTGGTAAGCCCAGCTGTGCTCTCAGGTATGCTGCCAGGTTGGATGTCAGGTGACCTGAAGGCGAGGGGAGCAACAGAGGAAGTGCGATGTAGACAAGAATCTGAGCATCACATTGGACCAAGCCCAGCTGTGCTCTCAGGTATGCTGCCAAGTTGGATGTCAGGTGGCCTGAAAGAGCGGGGAGCAATAAAGGAAGTGTGGTGTAGAAAAATGGATTTTTGAGCATCAACAGAGCCAAGTCCAGCCGCACCTTCAGTTATTTCTTTGAGTGTGCTAAAAAATACCGCACCTTGCCAGCATAACAAACTGCTCACTCCCTCACCTTGCTCGAAATGCTGCACTGCCAGCCCAGCCACGGCAAACCGCCCGTTGATCTGCAGCGTCATCTTTGACCAGCAGACAGCCTACCCTGCTGCTACGGTAGTTTGAGTGAGCATGTGAAACGACTGCACTGCCACCACACACCCACCTTCCTCAGAATGCTGCACTGCCAGCCCTGCCACAGCAAACCGCCCGTTGATCTGCAGCCTCAGCTTTGGCGTCGCTCCCAGCGCTGTGATGTGCTGCCGAATGAGGTTGCTGGGAGTGGAAACAGAGAGCAGGACAGGTACGATCAGCACAGGGAGGGGAAATGAGAAGGTTGCTATTGATTGAGAGCATCAGCTTTGGAGTCGCTCCCAGAGCTGTGATGTGCTGCCGGATGAGGTTGCTGGGAGTGGAAACAGAGAGGGAGCAAAGGGGAGGTATGGGGAAGACCAAAACGCAGGGCTTGCTTTAAGAGCTCTGACTGAGCTTTGGTGTCGCTCTCAGCGCTGTGATGTGCTGCCGAATGAGGTTGATTCCTCCCTTCTGGGGGAGCCACAAGGGAGGAGCAAGTTGAAAGGATAGATAGGGTAGGGAATGAGAAGGCAGTTGTAGATAAGAGAGCTCTGTGCTTCACAGCATCGCACCCGGCACTCGTTCGCACCCGGCACTCATTCGCACCCAGCACTCATTCGCACCCAGCACTCATTCGCACCCAGCACTCATTCGCACCCAGCACTCATTCGCACCCAGCACTCATTCGCACCCAGCACTCATTCGCACCCAGCACTCATTCGCACCCAGCTCTCTTCTGGAACATGTGAAGGTAATCCACCCGTCACTCACTCGGTGCACACCACGAGGAACATGTCTTCCGGAAGCCCCTCCACCCCGGCTGTCAGGTCCTGCAGGCTGATGGCTATAGCCCCCCCCCTGAGGCAAGAACAGCCCCCTCACGCCACTCCTTCTTCCCCACAGTCTACACTCACTCGGTGCGCATGACCAGGATCATGTCCTTGGGAAGCCCCTCCACAACTGCTGTCAGGTCCTGGAGGCTGTGTGTCTTTAACCCCCCCCTTTAGAGAATCACTGTCCTCTACGCACAAGATACACTACAAGCAACAACTGTCTCACTCCATTCAACACTCACTCGGTGTGCATGACCAGGAACATGTCCTTGGAAAGCCCCTCCACAACTGCTGTTAGGTCCTGGAGGCTGTGTGTCTTTAACCCCCCCCTTTAGAGAATCACTGTCCTCTATGCACAAGATACACTACAAGCAACAACTGTCTCTCTCCATTCAACACTCACTCGGTGCGCATGACCAGGAACATGTCCTTGGGAAGCCCCTCCACAACCGCCGTCAGGTCCTGTGGGCTGATCGCCTTGATCTCCCTCCTCAAACTCTTCTCCTCTTCAGGTGACATGCGCTGCCCCCACCGCGTCTTGCTGTGTGGTAAAAGACAAAGAGGGGAATGAGAGGTGTAGGGAGAAATGGGGGACAGTCAGATCCTGCGGGGTGATGGCTTTCATGTCCCTCCTCGGGCTCTTCTCCCCCTTGGGTGACATGCGCTGCCCCCACCGCGTCTTGCTGCGTGGTAAAGAGGAGCATTGAGAGGAGGAGAAGGAAAGACAGCATCGGGAACTGTCAGGTGCTGCAGGCTGATGGCCTTATTTCCCTCCTCAGGCTCTTCTCCTCTTCAGGCTCTTCTGCCCCCACCGCGTTTTGCTGTGTGATGAAGGGGAGGAATGGGAAGATGCGAATAAGTTGAAACCAACAGCTGAAGGCCTTGATCTCTCACGTCAGACTCTTCTCCTCTTCAGCAGACATGCGATGCCCCCACCGTGTCACTATCTACAGTCACTATCGCTTCAACTGCCCCTCCCATTCCCACCAGATACTCACCTCTGGAAAGGTCTTGCAGTGAAGAGCGCAGGGAGGAATCGTGAATACTCCCCCACGCCCAGCCGCTCCCCCCACCGCTGCACTCCCCCCATGTCCGTCAGTATGAGCGACCGCCACAGCTGACAAAAGTCCCTTCTAAAGCCGTCGTCCATCTCCCTGTAAAGGCCGTGGTCGAGCAGGACTGTGCGGGGAAGGAGGGGGAGATGTGGCAGAAGCAGTGAGCAAAGGCAGTGAGGAAGGGAGAGGCTGTGACAGCTGGCAGAAGTCCCTTCTAAATCAGTCGTCCATCTCCCTGTAAAGGCCGTGGTCGAGCAGGACTGTGCATTTTGAGGTGCCTCAAAATGCACCTCACTACACGTCGTCCATCTCCCTGTAGAGGCCGTGGTCGAGCAGGACTGTGGGAGAGGCGGCAGACATTGGGGCGGGTGGCGCCTGGGGATGTACCGAAAGGCCCACAGCACAGTTGCCTGTCACACTCACCAGTGTCAAAACGCCGCTGGCCGGGCTTGGTGGTGCCGGGCGCATGTGCCTGAATCAGCACATTGCCGGGATGGGGGTCCCCGTGGAGTGCAGGTGGCCAAGAGAAGACTTTTGAGACGTCTCAAAAGGCGCATGTGCCTGAATCAGCACATTGCCCGGATGGGGGTCCCCGTGGAGTGCATGAGGCCAAGAGAAGACGCGACAACAACCCATGTCCAACGTGTCTCAGTGTCACCACACTCACCAATATCAAATCTCCTGCGTCCAGGCTTGGTGGTGCCAGGAGCGTGTGCTTGAATGAGCACGTTCCCTGGGTGGGGGTCCCCATGCAGGTGGCCGTGACAGAAGACCATCTCTGCAAACACCTCCACTAGCAGCGCTGCCACCTGATGGGTTTAAGCAATTCAAGGTTCAGGGTTGAGGGTTTATGGGAGTGGGGATCGCGAGTTGTGACTGTGCAGGTGGCCGTGACAGAAGACCATCTCTGCAAACACCTCCACTAGCAGCGCTGCCAGCTGATGGGTTTAAGCAATTCAAGGTTCAGGGTTGAGGGTTTATGGGAGTGGGGATCGCGAGTTGTGACTGTGCAGGTGGCCGTGACAGAAGACCATCTCTGCAAACACCTCCACTAGCAGCGCTGCCACCTGATGGGTTTAAGCAATTCAAGGTTCAGGGTTGAGGGTTTATGGGAGTGGGGATCGCGAGTTGTGACTGTGCAGGTGGCCGTGACAGAAGACCATCTCTGCAAACACCTCCACTAGCAGCACTGCCACCTGATGGGTTTAAGCAATTCAAGGTTCAGGGTTGAGGGTTTATGGGAGTGGGGATCGCGAGTTGTGACTGTGCAGGTGGCCGTGACAGAAGACCATCTCTGCAAACACCTCCACTAGCAGCACTGCCACCTGATGGGTTTAAGCAATTCAAGGTTCAGGGTTGAGGGTTTATGGGAGTGGGGATCGCGAGTTGTGACTGTGCAGGTGGCCGTGACAGAAGACCATCTCTGCAAACACCTCCACTAGCAGCACTGCCACCTGATGGGTTTAAGCAATTCAAGGTTCAGGGTTGAGGGTTTATGGGAGTGGGGATCGCGAGTTGTGACTGTGCAGGTGGCCGTGACAGAAGACCATCTCTGCAAACACCTCCACTAGCAGCGCTGCCACCTGATGGGCGTTGTGGGATCGGGGTTTGGGGATTGGGGCTTGAGTGGGTGAGACGCGGATCCGAGGAAAGAGTGGAAAGCAGTAGGTGGGGAGCAGACGGAGCTGTGCAGGTGGCCGTGGCGGACCACCATCTCTGCAAACACCTCCACCAGCAATGCTGCCACCTTAGCGGAGGGAAAGGGAGAGGAGTGGGGAGAGGGGAGAGAGGAGAGCACTATTGGTGGCGAGAAAACAACCCCACGCAGGTGGCCGTGGCAGACGATTATCTCTGCAAACACCTCCACTAGCAGCGCCACCAGCTGACCAACAGAGGAGAGGAGGGGAGAGGAGGAAGATCTCAGGAAAGGGAGTGGGGAGAGAGGAGAGCAGTAGGGAGGGAGCAGATTTCCCCATGCATGTGGTCGTGGCAGAAGACCGTCTCTGCAAACACCTCCACCAGCAACGCTGCCACCTGATGGGTTTAGGATTTCGGGTTTAGGGGGAAGATTTGAAGGAAGAGTGGTGATGAAGAGGGGAGGATGGCCCCGTGCAAATGGCCGTGACAGAAGACCATCCCTGTAAACACCTCGTGTGTGATAAGTCAATTTTTGAGTCGACTCAAAAATCGTCTCATCACACACGATGGGCATGACAGAAGACCGTCCCTGTAAACACCTCCACCAGCAGTGCTGCCACCTGACTGACAGAGGAGAGGGGAGAGGAGGAAGGTCCCAGGTAGGAAAGTTGGGAGAGAGGAGAGCAGCACGAAAGGAGCAGATATCCCCATGCAGGTGGGCGTGGCAAATAGCATCTCTGCAAACACCTCGACCAGAAGTGCCGCCACCTGATGGGCGTTCGTGAGGAGGGCTTTTGGGACGGTTTGGAAGAAAGACGAGCACAGGGGTCTCAGGGAAGTAGGCGGAGAGAGAGACGAGATTGACAAGCTACAATGAAAAAAATGAAGACATCCACCACGCAGATGAGAATGCACGTTCAAGCAAAGTGAACTTGCCTTGAGAACCAATGGTGCATGTGTGGCCGACTGGTGTACGCACCTCTATAGAGTTGACTCAGCTGCTGAGGCCGACTGGTGTGCTCAGCGCCTTGTAGGCCCTGCTTCTTGATCCCCTCCAAATCGTCGATGTGAGAGAGCGTTTTGATTGGACTCAGAACTCACCACCTCATAAATTGCCTGAATGAGTGGTGCACGAATGCACGTACCTCTAGAGGGTCGAGGCCTTGCTTCTTGATTCCCTCCAAATCGTCAATCTGAGGAGAAGGAGAAGGAGGGGAGAACAAAGGAATACTATGAGAATAAGGAGGACCGAAAGGGGTTATGGCTACAAAGACCCATGACAGATACTGTCTAGTATTGCAATGCTGCCCAGTTTGGAGTATTGTTTTTTTTCAAATTCTAAAACAACTGCCATGGTTAGGACTCCAGACAAAGAAGCAGCACGTGACACACACACGGTGCATAAATAGCATAGCGTGAAGCATGAAACGCACCTTGCAGCCATTCATAAACTCCATTGTCAGGACTCTCTTGGTGGTGAAGTCCTGGTGGCAAGGAATCTATGTATGGCCGCCCCGCCTAAAAAAACAAGGAGCAGCAAGTGACGCACCTTGCAGCCGTTCATGAACTCCATTGTGAGGACTCTCTTGGTGGTGAAGTCCTGGTGATGGGAAACGAAGAGAGTGGAAGAAACGAAAGAGGAGATGAAGGGGATCGGATTTCAGGATTCATCCATGAACCAGAGCTAAATCACACGGAGAGAGACAGAACATGCAGCCACAATGTGCAGGCGCAGCGCACCTCAGCAATGCACCTCAGCAGCGCACCTCAGCAATGCACATTCAACACTGAACTGAATCTTGGGCGCTTGCGCCTGCGCATCTTACCTCACTGAACCACACTGTCTTGGGCGCTTTTACCTCTTGTGCATGGATGCCTCAACAGCCTCGGTAGCACACAGCCATACCATACCATACCATACCACGCACGACGCACACACTGAAAAACCCAGCTCCAACCCACAGTATCTTGGGCACTTTGACCTCCTCCTTGTGCACAGGAGGCATCTACAACCTTGATAACACGCCCCACTACACGCAGTAACAGACCCCCGGTGCACACACCCAGCGCTCAAGCAGCTGTCTCACCCAGCTCTCACCCACATCGCTCTCAACGAAGTTTCTGTACTGGGTATGCTGACCCGTAAAAACTCTACGATGGTTTGAAATTCGGAATTTGAACACCAAATGTGGATCCGCCATTGTATTTCGACACCTGGTAAACGCTTCGTTGAAATGTGCCGTTCTTACTTGCTGGTCTTGCATATGCATATCAATATTTCAAAAGCGTTTCTTCAAGAGACCTCATACACCAATTCCATTGTTAGAAACAATAACAGCCCTTTTGTATTGTTTGTGTTGGGCTGGGAAAAATCCTTTGTATTTTTTAGAGTTTATTTGTTACCAAGGTGTTGCAGCGAAAGTCTACATTCCCTGCACCAGTTGATCTCACAGGAATTTGTTGGAATAACCGATGGTTATTATAAGAGCGTGTTCCTACACCTCGTATCAGGCTCATACTGAAAAATCCCCTAAACCCGAAACCTCTCGCTAGTTTTACCAGGGAAAAGGTACATTCTTGCTACGAGGTTTTCTGATATGCCGTAGGAATACGCCCTAACATTCCTGAATGCTTCTTTTAGCGCATCGCTTCATACCTTGTGTGCGAAGTTCTCCTTTTGAGACGTCCCAAGGCCTCACAGAGATATATTAGTACCACCAGCCTAGGTAACTGTAACACAAGACTGAGCAACTCACGCCCAGCACTCACCCACAGTATCTTGGGCACTTTGACCTCCTCCTTGTGTGCGAAGTTCTCCTTTTGAGACGTCCCAAGGCCTCACAGTGACACACCTCAGTACCACCAGCCTAGGTAACTGTAACACAAGACTGAGCAACTCACGCCCAGCACTCACCCACAGTATCTTGGGCACTTTGACCTCCTCCTTGTGCACAAAGTTTGTGTTTGACGCCTCAAGAGCCTCAATAAGACGCCCTAGTATAACCAGCCTAGGCAACTCACGCCCAGCTCTCACCCACAGTATCTTGGGCACTTTGACCTCCTCCTTGTGCACAAAGTTTGTGTTTGACGCCTCACGAGCCTCAATAAGACGCCCTAGTATAACCAGCCTAGGCAACTCACGCCCAGCTCTCACCCACAGTATCTTGGGCACTTTGACCTCCTCCTTGTGCACAAAGTTTGTGTTTGACGCCTCAAGAGCCTCAATAAGACGCCCTAGTATAACCAGCCTAGGCAACTCACGCCCAGCTCTCACCCACAGTATCTTGGGCACTTTGACCTCCTCCTTGTGCACAAAGTTTGTGTTTGACGCCTCAAGAGCCTCAATAAGACGCCCTAGTATAACCAGCCTAGGCAACTCACGCCCAGCTCTCACCCACAGGATCTTGGGCACTTTGACCTCCTCCTTGTGCACAAAGTTTGTGTTTGACGCCTCAAGAGCCTCAATAAGACGCCCTAGTATAACCAGCCTAGGCAACTCACGCCCAGCTCTCACCCACAGTATCTTGGGCACTTTGACCTCCTCCTTGTGCACAAAGTTTGTGTTTGACGCCTCAAGAGCCTCAATAAGACGCCCTAGTATAACCAGCCTAGGCAACTCACGCCCAGCTCTCACCCACAGGATCTTGGGCACTTTGACCTCCTCCTTGTGCACAAAGTTTGTGTTTGACGCCTCAAGAGCCTCAATAAGACGCCCTAGTATAACCAGCCTAGGCAACTCACGCCCAGCTCTCACCCACAGTATCTTGGGCACTTTGACCTCCTCCTTGTGCACAAAGTTTGTGTTTGACGCCTCAAGAGCCTCAATAAGACGCCCTAGTATAACCAGCCTAGGCAACTCACGCCCAGCTCTCACCCACAGTATCTTGGGCACTTTGACCTCCTCCTTGTGCACAAAGTTTGTGTTTGACGCCTCAAGAGCCTCAATAAGACGCCCTAGTATAACCAGCCTAGGCAACTCACGCCCAGCTCTCACCCACAGTATCTTGGGCACTTTGACCTCCTCCTTGTGCACAAAGTTTGTGTTTGACGCCTCAAGAGCCTCAATAAGACGCCCTAGTATAACCAGCCTAGGCAACTCACGCCCAGCTCTCACCCACAGTATCTTGGGCACTTTGACCTCCTCCTTGTGCACAAAGTTTGTGTTTGACGCCTCAAGAGCCTCAATAAGACGCCCTAGTATAACCAGCCTAGGCAACTCACGCCCAGCTCTCACCCACAGTATCTTGGGCACTTTGACCTCCTCCTTGTGCACAAAGTTTGTGTTTGACGCCTCAAGAGCCTCAATAAGACGCCCTAGTATAACCAGCCTAGGCAACTCACGCCCAGCTCTCACCCACAGGATCTTGAGCACTTTGACCTCCTCCTTGTGCACAAAGTTTGTGTTTGACGCCTCAAGAGCCTCAATAAGACGCCCTAGTATAACCAGCCTAGGCAACTCACGCCCAGCTCTCACCCACAGTATCTTGGGCACTTTGACCTCCTCCTTGTGCACAAAGTTTGTGTTTGACGCCTCAAGAGCCTCAATAAGACGCCCTAGTATAACCAGCCTAGGCAACTCACGCCCAGCTCTCACCCACAGTATCTTGGGCACTTTGACCTCCTCCTTGTGCACAAAGTTTGTGTTTGACGCCTCAAGAGCCTCAATAAGACGCCCTAGTATAACCAGCCTAGGCAACTCACGCCCAGCTCTCACCCACAGTATGTTGGGCACTTTGACCTCCTCCTTGTGCACAAAGTTTGTGTTTGACGCCTCAAGAGCCTCAATAAGACGCCCTAGTATAACCAGCCTAGGCAACTCACGCCCAGCTCTCACCCACAGTATCTTGGGCACTTTGACCTCCTCCTTGTGCACAAAGTTTGTGTTTGACGCCTCAAGAGCCTCAATAAGACGCCCTAGTATAACCAGCCTAGGCAACTCACGCCCAGCTCTCACCCACAGGATCTTGGGCACTTTGACCTCCTCCTTGTGCACAAAGTTTGTGTTTGACGCCTCAAGAGCCTCAATAAGACGCCCTAGTATAACCAGCCTAGGCAACTCACGCCCAGCTCTCACCCACAGTATCTTGGGCACTTTGACCTCCTCCTTGTGCACAAAGTTTGTGTTTGACGCCTCAAGAGCCTCAATAAGACGCCCTAGTATAACCAGCCTAGGCAACTCACGCCCAGCTCTCACCCACAGGATCTTGGGCACTTTGACCTCCTCCTTGTGCACAAAGTTTGTGTTTGACGCCTCAAGAGCCTCAATAAGACGCCCTAGTATAACCAGCCTAGGCAACTCACGCCCAGCTCTCACCCACAGTATCTTGGGCACTTTGACCTCCTCCTTGTGCACAAAGTTTGTGTTTGACGCCTCAAGAGCCTCAATAAGACGCCCTAGTATAACCAGCCTAGGCAACTCACGCCCAGCTCTCACCCACAGTATCTTGGGCACTTTGACCTCCTCCTTGTGCACAAAGTTTGTGTTTGACGCCTCAAGAGCCTCAATAAGACGCCCTAGTATAACCAGCCTAGGCAACTCACGCCCAGCTCTCACCCACAGTATCTTGGGCACTTTGACCTCCTCCTTGTGCACAAAGTTTGTGTTTGACGCCTCAAGAGCCTCAATAAGACGCCCTAGTATAACCAGCCTAGGCAACTCACGCCCAGCTCTCACCCACAGTATCTTGGGCACTTTGACCTCCTCCTTGTGCACAAAGTTTGTGTTTGACGCCTCAAGAGCCTCAATAAGACGCCCTAGTATAACCAGCCTAGGCAACTCACGCCCAGCTCTCACCCACAGTATCTTGGGCACTTTGACCTCCTCCTTGTGCACAAAGTTTGTGTTTGACGCCTCAAGAGCCTCAATAAGACGCCCTAGTATAACCAGCCTAGGCAACTCACGCCCAGCTCTCACCCACAGGATCTTGAGCACTTTGACCTCCTCCTTGTGCACAAAGTTTGTGTTTGACGCCTCAAGAGCCTCAATAAGACGCCCTAGTATAACCAGCCTAGGCAACTCACGCCCAGCTCTCACCCACAGTATCTTGGGCACTTTGACCTCCTCCTTGTGCACAAAGTTTGTGTTTGACGCCTCAAGAGCCTCAATAAGACGCCCTAGTATAACCAGCCTAGGCAACTCACGCCCAGCTCTCACCCACAGGATCTTGGGCACTTTGACCTCCTCCTTGTGCACAAAGTTTGTGTTTGACGCCTCAAGAGCCTCAATAAGACGCCCTAGTATAACCAGTCTAGGCAACTCACGCCCAGCTCTCACCCACAGTATCTTGGGCACTTTGACCTCCTCCTTGTGCACAAAGTTTGTGTTTGACGCCTCAAGAGCCTCAATAAGACGCCCTAGTATAACCAGCCTAGGCAACTCACGCCCAGCTCTCACCCACAGTATCTTGGGCACTTTGACCTCCTCCTTGTGCACAAAGTTTGTGTTTGACGCCTCAAGAGCCTCAATAAGACGCCCTAGTATAACCAGCCTAGGCAACTCACGCCCAGCTCTCACCCACAGTATCTTGGCACTTTGACCTCCTCCTTGTGCACAAAGTTTGTGTTTGACGCCTCAAGAGCCTCAATAAGACGCCCTAGTAT